CAGAGAGAGAAAAAAAAAAACACATGAATGGAGACAAAAAAAATATGAAAACTACACTTTAAAATTACTTACTCTTACACTTGAATTCTATTCTACGTCTTAAGAACGGTTAGCCCCGCCCACTGGGAAATCTCATTGGTCTAAAATCCTGTTTCTCACAACTATTAAATGTCAGATATGTTCTGATTGGCTGTTGCTCGGACATTTCATTTAGCATTTGATAAACTGGTGCAGGTAGATGACCGTGCTGGTTAGAATGCAGTGTTGGATTTCATGAAGTAAGATTAATTAGAAAAATTAGGAATGATAGGAAAGCAAAAAATTTAAGTATTCAATATTTACCTGATTATTTTTCAGGAGCAAAAACAAATTACCAGATGATCACAGACCTGAATGAGAAAGACAGAAAGATGTATGAGGACATCTCGGTGACAATGGGACAATAATTTACATTGATTTGATGATTATGAAATCAAGCATCGTCCTATAGCAAATAAATAAATAACATTTTTAAAAACATTTTAAACCATATCTTTAAACCACATGTATTATTTGTTTATTGTAAATTATTTAACTAACAACAAATTCATAAATTTGCCAAACCCATATGACCTTTGAATGAACCATGAAGGTAAAAAAAAGTTGATTTAAAAAATAAATTGTGAAAAAACATCTCAGCACGTCCAATATAATGTTTCCCTTCATACATTCAATAGAAATGTTATTAGAAAACAATACAAAAACAATAATGTCCATAATGCCGATGTTATTTGTCAAGTACACAATTGTACTTAGTAGGGCTGTCAAAATCACTGAAAAACTAAATTAGAATTTTCTACTTAAATATTATCAAAATTCGAATTATATTCGAATTTAAAAGGCATCATTTCAGTTAGGGGAAAAAAAGCTTTTGGCTTCTCTCCTGAGGCCACAAGAGGGCGCATCGAGCAAAATATTATGCACGTTTCTTCAAAATGTAATGAAATAACACGACTATCTTTGAAAAAAAGTGCATAATGTTTAAAATAATGTTTATAAACCATATATAATTAATAAAGTTGCTTAAACAATTAGAAAAAAAACCAGCACCATGCATGCATGTATAGTTTAATACAAAGGACCGAAAACCAATCACAAAGAGTAGGCTACTTTCTTCATTTAAAAACATGTGGGATGGGGAAAAACCGCCATAAAGTCTTGAGACATATTTTTTAAAAGTTGAACTTACATTAATTTTACATGGCTTTCTAAACATGCCGCTCTCTTGTGCCAGACGCGACTGCAACGCTGATAGATGTCCCTCTAGAAAATGTGATACATATGCGTTCTGTGTGAACGGCTTGGTTTTAGTTTTGACGTAAACAACATCTTCTCCACACTGATGCTCTCGTTTTCCGCAATATATTGAATGAGCAACATAGCAGCGCCACATCTAGTGGGTTCAACTGGATAGGCTAACAAAAGCATTAAAATGCAATGACACTTACATTGTCGTCGCTGTGTGAACGGCTTGGTTTTAGTTTTGACGTAAACAACATCTTCTCCACACTGATGCTCTCGTTTTCCGCAATATATTGAATGAGCAACATAGCAGCGCCACATCTAGTGGCTTCAACTGGATAGGCTAACAAAAGCATTAAAATGCAATGACACTTAAATCGTCATCGCATCTCGTGCGCCACTGATAGGCTGCCTGACGGCTGACGCAGACCTAAAATTCGAATGCAATGTTTTTGCATTCGAATGTGTTTTTTTTTTTATTTTATTCGACGAATACTCGAAATTAGAAAAAAAAAATTGACAGCCCTAGTACTTAGGGGTGGCTGATATGATCAAAAGCTTATTTAATGGTAAGAATAAGCTAATTTTATTTCACAATAACAATATATATCGCAACATAGTTGTTTTTGTTATTTTATTTGATCTTTTTTTATTAAAAATTCAGAACAAAAATGCAAACAACAGGACACACAACATGACAAAGACAGTAAGAAAAATGAAATACTGTAATGCAGCAACTGAATAATCAAAAGGACTGTAACGGCCTTCACTGTATGAATTAAATATACATTTCTTATTAAAGCTACTAAAGTTATTCAGTCAAGAGTAGTGTGTGAATTTCTTTTTGTTGTTTGATTAACATTAACAGCATAGCAGCAGGTATATTAGGCTGATACTACTTTAAGATCTAACGCACAGATCTAATATACTGAGACAAATTAGATTTTCTCCCAAATGCTTACGTTCACTTAAGACGTAACCCACTGCTCTTTGAGAGGCAGCTTTCTGGGTGTGCTTCAGTCGTCGACAGCATGAGTATTAAGTTATTTTTCATGGCTTATTGCTCTTAATAAAGTTTTTAACATCAAGTACATTCTATGCTTTATTTTCTTATGCAAATGTCTTTTCAACATGTCAAAACTTTTAGCAGTCCTGTGCTGTATTTACACACTGCAATATAGACAAAATGAGCAAAAACACTATAACAGCCACAATATAAATACTGTCATGCCACCCAGCCCTTATTGTACTCGAAACTTTCTAGGCCGTTGAGCTCTGGAATAATATTGAATGCATATACACAACAGTGTGAATAGAAAACTTAAAAAGACGACAAGAAAAACAAACAAAAGTAAAAGTTCCAAAATGCTAATTATGAGGTTCTACTTTTTTTTGTTTGAGGAACGTGATGCATCCAGCATCCTGTTTGCATGCGCAGGTAGGAGGTGGGGGGTCTGTTTCCTCTCCAAGGGCCTACAGATGCACTCCCTACCCACATAGTGTCTCTTTTGTTCTCTGATAAATTGACACTGCCAGTTCCCCACGTTGCCAAGACATGAGGAAGACCGCCGGGAAAAAGAAGTAGGAGCAGCGCCACTACATGTGATTGGTATCACTTCTGACTGACTCTTTCTTATTTACATATAAAATTACAACAAAAAACTATTTCATGGCCATCCAGGAACTAACAGTACAATGAATGCACCATAGAGAAACCTATTTTACAAACAGTGAAATACTACCGTATTGGCCCGAATATAAGACGACCCTGATTATAAGACGACCCCCCTTTTTCCAGATGTACCTTTTGGAAAAAGGCTTTTTAAAAAACAAATCTTGTTTTTTCTCAGTAAAACACATTTTGTCTTCAATTATTTTCATATTGCATATTTTTCCTATTTTAATTTTTGTTTTGAAAGTATGGTAAAAACTGGTAAAATGTACCAACAATCACATTTAAAAAATATACACTTTTTGATATACCATTAAAAAAAACAAAAAAAAAATAGGTAGCCCATCTGAATTAGGACATTTAGGCTATCCATCTAATAGTAGCCTTCCAAAATCTTATTAACAGTAGAAGTTAAATCTTTCTGTAGTCTTCAAATCACAAAGGGAGTTTGGTCCCATCAGGCTAACCTGACAGTCACGACTTGTGCAGCTGTGAGGTTTTCTTTTTCTTTTGTTTTTACTCGCGATCTTTACAACACGCATTACATTACGTATTTCATGGCACACTCGTTTTATGCGCATTTGGCGCCACCTATTGTTGTGGGTGTATTATTGACATGTCAAAGTCTAGACCCTGAATATAAGACGACCGCGTTTTTTCAGATGTATTTCCAAGAAAAAAACATTGTCTTATATTCGGGTCAATACGGTATTTGTCTTTTAAAATAAAGCATATTATTCAAAATATTTTAAAATGATTCCTCTAAGTATCAGTGTATCCTGAAGTGTTATGTTAATATCACTGATATACTAATAAAGTTTTTGTTAGTATTTAGAATTAGATTTAATTTTTATATTTTCATCTTAATTTAAGTTAAAGTTGTAGTCTTTTTTTTTTAGTATTTAGTATTTTTATAATTTTCATTATTTTCATTATTTATTTATTTTTTACATTATGTCTATATATATTTTTAGGGTTTAGTTTTTAGTTTAGAGTTATTTGATACTTAAACTGAAAGAAATGTTGCTTTGGCAACTAGATGAAATAAAGTTTATAAAATAAGATTAAGGTAATTATATTTTATTTCTGTTAATGTTTGTTTTACTTCAAGTTATGAAAATGTTTTTTTATGGTTTAGTTTTAGTTAACGATAATAACCCTGATTCTGAATAAAGGTTTCATTGTCTCAATAAGAAAAAAAAATGTTTGGGCTCCTACGGCATATTTTGCAATTAAACCAAGGAAAACAAAATCAGCCCATGACACTTTTGCCTCAAAACCACATTTTTCAAGAAGCGCAGGAGAAAAGCATCATGTGATTTTTAGAATCTCCAGCCAACAAGCAGTGAAATATGGCTCAAAACAATTTAGTTGAAAGCTGGCAACATTTCTGTGCCTTTGGAATGACTACACCAATAAATGAAATAGACTCATAAATTCTTCATGGCCAGTGGCCATAAGTGAAACCATAACTGAGGAAAAAATCTGTTGCATTCACCTCTGTGTGAGGATTCTCTCTTATGTAATTGGCAAAATAATTCTTCTTCTGCAAAATATGTGACTCATTGTATTGGGGTAAAACTGTCATTATTTATTCACCCTCATGTCGTTCCAAACCTGTATGACTTTCATTCCTCCATGAAAAACAAAGCTTGAATGTTTAAAGAATATCCTGGCCACTCTCTCTTTTTTTTCTATATAATGGAAGTGAATGGGATCTGGAATTGTCAGGGGCCAAAAACGCAAAAATGCTTGACTAATCCTTTATTTTCATCCAGATCTTTTCCGAACTGATCCAAACAAACTCACTGACTCAACTTGTGACTGGATCATTGAAAATAATGATTCAATAATAGTGACGAACCAAAATTAACCAATAGTTTCAGTTTTTAGCTAAATGAAAACTTTCGGATGAATTTTGGTGCATCACTAATCAGTAATTAAATTTCACTCTGTTCATCACACAAAGCCATGGACTATTTTTTTGATATCATATGATAGTTTTAAACCTTTTAAGTTCCAGACACATTTATTTATTTATTTATCTCTCTGTTTTTTTTTTCCTGAAGAAAGTAAGTCATGTTTGTAACACTATAAATGTCGTAAATGTTGACAAAATTTCCAGCTAATCTTTTAATGTAATTTTATGTTTACAAATATGGCACTTTTTTCTCTTACACCAACTACACCACTTAATTTTACATTCTATTAAGTTTAATATAATGTTTAATAAAAATGAATGGTTGAGCCATTCCCTACTCCAACTTCTTATTATTCCCAGTTAGCCTCCAGTGGTTCAGTGAGTCTCTTTTGTGGAATCCCAGGATAATGTATTGTACGCATGCAAGGTCATTTTTAGTATACTGAGCTGAGGTGGATCAGGGCCTAGAAGACCACTATCACTGTCCATGGCCCAATGCAACCACATAGCACCTG